TTATCACTATCTATTCATTTCCACTCTTAAGCATAGCCTCCTATATAAAACATTGTTCCTATTTTGAAGTTTGAATTTTTTAATAGTAGCTAATGTTCTGCCCCTTCCTATTGGTGAGTGATACATTACATTTTCATATCTTTATTAAAAGAAAGATGGGAAGTTCTTATTCATCTAATTTCTACATGTTCATAATTTGTTAGAAAGTAACATTCAAGATGACGTATTCGATGAATGGGAGGAGGATACTCAGGCCCGGCCCGGCCCAGGTGCAACTGGAGCAACTGCACAGGGCCCCCAGTTTTGGAGGGTCCCCATTTTTTTAAGTGTAGTAGTATACCTAGGTCCATTAGTAAAGAGTAATAATATGAAACAAGGCCCGATCCAATAAAAAGCTTTAAGTGGTCCGCGTAGCTCACTAGCTCTTACTTCCCTAACAGCGTAACTGTCTTCAATTCTTCATCCGCGTGGAATGGCAAAATCGAAGCGATGAAGAATATTTTCGAAGACCAAGACTGCGATTGAGCGAAATCGAAGCGGCGAAACTACTAAAACGTCGGAGAGGTATGAAATTTAATCAGTTTATTGTTTTTACCGTTAGATTTTAATCTTAAATACTTTCTATTCTTCTCAAGTTGAGCGAATCGCCTAGTCCTGCTAATATGCTAATCTGCTATTCTGCTAATTTAATCTGCTACCGAAAACGTCCTGCACTCCTGCTATTCTTTATTCTCTGACAGTCTTACTCTGTGTCTGCTGGTCGCTGGGCAGCACTGCAGCAGGAAAGCTGAAGCAACCGTCAACTTGAGGAGTGAGGTCTTGAGGGTGGGGCAGTGGGCATTGGCGCATAATCTGTTTCAGGACTTCAGTCTTCGGGTGTTTTGTTCCCATAATCCCATTCCTAGTTCATACTTTTTAATTGTTAATTTGGAATTTTGGATTCATCTACATCTTATAATTTATAAATTAGAATTTAATAAATTGATATTTGAAAATGGCTCCTAGAATTAGAAAATATGAATCCGGATATGAAAAACGAATGAAGAAAAAAAAAAACAGATGAGTTTATTTTCTCTCAAAAAGGAGCTTTAGAAAAATTTGTTACAAGAGAACCACAAAGTGTTTTTGCGAATGAAAATACTTGTGCTAGCAGTGGTGTTGATGTTGATGATATTGTTGGTGCAACTGATAATGATGTTGATGTTGATGATTGTGTTGGTGCAACTGTTAATGTTGTTGATGATGATCTTGGTGCAACTGCTAATGATAATGTTGATGGCATTGTTAATTCTAGTTGTGAATTTGATGATAATGTTGTTGCTAATGATGTTTTTGAAAGTATTGATATATTTGATCCAAGAAATTGGGATGTTCTTGATTCTAACATGATTAATAATTTAGTTGAAAAAGCCGGGTCCAATTAGAGATTTATCTATCACTAAGGGTCCTAAAGATCAATCATCAAGAAGGTTTTCATCTGCATTTTACACTAGAATTTTACCAAATAGAGAGAAGTGTGATAGAGAATGGCTAGTGTATTCAAAGGAACTTGATAAAGTTTTTTGTTTTTGCTGTAAAATATTTAAAAAAGGGATTGGTAGAAATCAATTAGCGAATGAGGGATTTGGAGATTGGACACATGTTACCAGTAGGCTTAGAGAACATGAATGTAGTGTTGAACATCTTAAAAATATGACTACATGGTATGATTTGCGTTTAAGATTGCAGAAAAATCAAACGATTGATAAAACTTCTCAAAAACTTTTCGAAAAAGAAAAAGAGCATTGGAGAAAGATGTTGTTGAGAATTGTTTCGGTGGTGAAATTTCTTGCTAAACATAATCTTGCATTTCGTGGTACGAATGAGAAGTTGTATCAAAATAGTAATAGAAATTTTTTGGGCTTAATTGAGATGTTGGCAGAGTTTGACCCTGTGGTTCAAGAACATGTTCAACGTATTAAAAATGATGAAATTGATTATCATTATCTAGGGCATAGGATCCAAAATGAGTTAATACTCTTGCTTGGTTCTCAAATTAAATCTGTAATTATTGAAAAAATCAAACAAGCAAAATACTTTTTTGTGATACTTGATTGTACCACTGATATAAGTCATCAAGAACAAATGTCTTTAATATTGAGATATGTGGATGTCTCGTCAAACTCAGTTTGCATTGAGGAATCATTCTGAGGGTTTTTGAATGTTAATGATACGAGTGGTCAAGGCCTTTTTGATGTTATGCAAAATGAATTGATCTCTCTTGATCTTGAGCTTGATAACGTAAGAGGACAGGGATACGATAATGGGTCTAATATGAAAGGAAAACATCAAGGAGTGCAAAAAAAATTGTTGGATTTAAATCCCAGAGCTTTTTATACTCCATGTGGTTGTCATAGTCTTAATTTGACTTTATGTGACATGGCTAATACTTGTGGCAAAGCTAAAGATTTTTTTGGAGTTATTCAACGTATCTATACAATTTTTGCAAATTCCACTAAAAGATGGCAAATTTTGAAAGAAAATCTTAAGGGATTAACTCTTAAATCATTGTCATCTACTCGTTGGGAGAGCCGCGTTGATATATAGTGTTAAAGCTATAAGATTTTAGGTTTTAGAATTACGAGAAGCTTTACTTGAAGTAGAAGAAACCGATAATGATTCCAAAATTAGGAGCGAAGCAAAATCTTTAGCAGAAATTGAGCTTGGTAATTTTGAATTCATTATGGCAGTAGTGATTTGGTATGAAATTTTATATGCTGTTAATTTAGTTAGCAAGGATTTGCAAAAAATTGACATGCTTCTTGATGTTGCTATTGAAAAATTAAAGGGTTTGATTTCTTATTTTGAAAACTATAGAGAAACTGGTTTCTCAAGTGCCTTAGAAATTGCATCGAACATTTGTATTGAATTAAACATTGCCGCGGTATTTCCTCAAAAGCGGCAAATTCGAAGAAAAAGGCAATTTGATGAGAATGCACATGATGTGTGTTCTAGTGTTTCCCAATCTGCACAAGAGTCATTTAGAGTTAATTATTTCTTATGCATTGTTGATCAATCAATAACATCACTTACCACAAGATTTGAACAATATCAACAAAATGAGAATATTTTTGGATTTTTATTTACCTCCGAAAAGTTGCGTTTATTAGATGATAACAATTTGAAATCTTGTTGTAGTTGTCTTGAAGCATCACTTAAAAAGGATGAACAATCAGATATTGATGGAAATGAATTATATGTAGAATTGAAGTTACTTAAAGACTTTTTGCCAATGGAGAATATGGGGCCTGTTGATATCTTGAAATTTTTAAAACGTCCTGATTGCTTTCCTAATGCGGTTATTGCATATAGAGTTCTGTTGACTAATCCCATTACTGTTGCAACTGCAAAGCGAAGCTTTTCAAAATTGAAGGCGTTAAAGACTTACATGCGGTCAACAATGACACAAGAAACACTTAACGGATTGGCTTTAGTGGCAATTGAGAGCGACATATTGGAGAAGATTGCATATGAAGACCTTATCGACGACTTTATTTGAAAGAATCTTAGAAGGATAGCATTATTTAAATAAATGTAGTTTAATTTCAAAATATTGGATGTGATTTTGATGCTCTTGGTGTATTAGTCGAAGAAGAATTGCATTTTAGTATGAAGTATAATTATAAAATATGATATTACTTTTTTATTTTATTATTAGTATTTTTTGTATTAAATATTAGGGCATCCGATTGTTCTTTTGAACAGGGCCTCTCATTTGTCAGGACCGGGCCTGAGGATACTATATTCAACAATGAAACACAAGAGGAAGGCAAGATAATGGAGAAGTTGATAGCACACAATGGAGTATTCAAAGCTCACAAATCACAATGCATGACGAATTTGCGGATAAAATTGCTAATAGAGTAGTCGGAAAATGTTTATATTTAAAATGTTGTCATAGAATTCTTGACGTTTTCTTATCAAGTAATGTGACTCTTTTATTAGACATATGAAATTATATTTGAGAACAAGGAATGTAAACAGATAATAACATTCAGCACTTATTCTGTACACGAGGGTTATTTGGTCATTTAACATAATTCAGACTTCTCATTCAGCACACATACTAAACAACTTTTTATTTCATTGTCTCTTAATCCAAACAGACATCTTAATTTATACATACATCTTAATTCATCTGGGACTTAATGAAAGAAAAAATAAACAGTCCCATAAATCCATAATCTCACCCTCATCCCATAAATAATCCTAATCTTAAACATTTTTCCATATCTCTTCTCCAACTCTTCCTAAATCCTACTCTCTACTCTCTAATTATCTTCATCTTCTCAAATTCTCTTATTCTCAAAAAATTATCATTTGATTTAAAAATGATATAATACTTTGAGGGATCAAACATATACGTATTACATATAGAATGCAAGCACACTACAACAAATAAAATAAAAATGAAAATAAATAAATATGTCATGGATTATATGAGTATGAGAGAGAGATAAAAGTATATATTACTAATTTACATTATTTTTGACTAGTTCAAAAAAAGTTCATGAGTATATACGTTATATGTGATATAGTTGAGATAAATATTTATTGTTTCATCAATACGAATTCTTTAAGTTAAATAAAAATAAAAGTTAATTAATACTGATAACAAGTCAAAACATATTATCAGTATAGCTACATTATTACGTGCAATGAATGTGTAAATGAATTCACAAACTAAACTAATCATAACAAACATTATTTCTCTAGCACAAGAAAACCAAAAACTATTAATGATATTAGGATTAATTAGGATTAATGCTTAACAATGGACAAATAAATTTTACTCCGTATACTTTAACTAATTCGATTTGTTCGGTTCGATTCGGTTTTGAATGGTAAAAATCAAAACCGAACCAAACAACTACGGTTCGATTCGGTTTTTTACTTTCAGTTTCGGTTTGTTAGCGGTTCGGTTTTATTTGGCTACAGTTCGATATGATTTGATTCGGTTTTCGGTTTTCTATTTTTGGATCCAGCCCTATATACAGTGAGTCAGTGACACCTTCCACGAGGTGCTCGGCCTTGGTAGTTTTATTGCAGACATTTGGCGTAATAATCACATAAGCTCTCTGCCAATTTGAAGAATCAGATCCATAATGGACGAGCAGCAGAGGGCACTCCTCCTTCAATCAGCTGCTAGCTTTCCGCCTCCTGAAGGTCAAATTTCTCCCATTTCCTCTGGTTTCCGATTTCTGCAAAACATTTTTATAAGCGTTCTTAGTGTTCTGAACAGGGGTGAAGCTGTCATATGGCACATCAGGGTTCAGAGCTGATGCGTCAATGCTTGAATCAATAGTCTTCCGGGTGGGGATTCTGGCTGCACTGAGGTCGCTGAAGACTGATTCAGTGATTGGCCTTATGATCACTGCGTCTCACAATATAGTTTCAGATAACGGAGTCAAAGTTGCTGACCCGTCTGGCGGAATGCTGACTCAAGAATGGGAGCCCTTTGCTGACCAGCTCGCCAATTGCCCCAATCCTAGCTCTGTTCTAGAGGTTCATCAGTATCTCTCTCTATTCAGAAGTTTCATCTAATCTATGCTGGAATCATGCTCAGTGTTCTCAAGCATTGACCAAAAGAAAATATGCAGTTGGCCTGTTCTATCATAATTTGCAAATGTGTGGTTGTGTAATTAGAAGGTTAGAGAGTAATAATCCAAAGAATGAGAAATACTGAAAAATAAGTGGAAAACAAAAGAAGATTGATGTTAAGTGGGGGTTGTTTAGGTCATTTTTAGAATCAAAGAGGTATCACATGACTCAGATTGTGTGTTAAGTGAAACAAAAAGGGGAAAATTTAGGAGTTATTTATTACTACTTTTTGAAAAAGTGGTAAAGAGGTGTGCCTCAATGTGAGGCGTTCATGACGGGTGTTGAGGTTTACCCATTCTTGCATGATAGGAGGTTTACACCAATCTTTAAGAATTAATGACACTATTCAATTCTTAGTTTTCTATCTGCACGAGTAATCAATCAGACATGTGTATATTCCTTTGTTTAATTTCTTTTTTCATTAGTAGCCAATATAGTAGAATAGATGCTTTAAGTTTTGCTAGCAAATAGTAAAATAGTTTCCACTATACAAATCAAGTTCAATAGTCGGTCATTGAGTTATGAGTACTTGGTCAACAATGAATACTATACTTGAGGTCTTATTGACGTTATTGCACATGTCTCCCCCCCCCCCCCCCCCCCTTTATTTAAACAAAAAGTATCATCATACATGATGTCTAATATTGGATATTAGCTTTCGTGCAGTGCTCGTTTAGTTGTTAGTAATAGTAATAATAGGAAATGATTGTTAATACTAAAATTGAATACTATTAATAATAATAGCGTTAAAAATAGTATAAGAGAGACACTCGTATCGTCAAACTATTTAAAATGTTATTTGTTAGCATGTTTGAGGCTTACACTTCAAAGTGCCTCAAGACGTACACATTGCCTCTCTAAAACAAACTCTCTCGAGACCAGAACTGACCTTTTATATCACATCAGTACTCTTAAGTCTTACCTATAGACTATGGTAGATGTTCTATTTTGGATGGAAGCTCTCTCTTTCTCTCTCACTCTCTCTTCTTTCTCTTGATGTTAATAATAATATTCTATTATACCTTTGGTCATTACTCGTACTTATGGACTATTATAGATGTTATATTTTGGAAGGAAGCTCTTCCTTTCTCTCTCATTCTCCCTTCTTCTTGATGTTAATACTTACATAATAATACTTCCGTATTTCTAATACTATATATATGCCAATTGCCAAGACAAACTGTTCTGCATTCTCGACTGTTGCCTATTCTAAACTTTATGCTTGATATCTATTATGTGCACAGTACACTTTTATTTCCTTGACAAATTCCTTTTGTTTCTTGAAACAGTTAATAGTTGATTTTGTGAAGAAAGAACACATTACACTCGATAGAAAAAAGTCATCAGTGGTTTTATTGGGGAGAGACACCAGGCCTAGTGGAGAGAAACTCCTTGCGGCTGCAAAGAAAGTACATATTCTCCTTATTATCACCATTTGCTAGTGCATGTATGCAATGTAATCTATTTGTAAGCTTTTTTCTATTTCATACTTTCCCTTTTAACCACAACAAAGTTTGATCCCGCAAACCCAAAGCAGTCTTGTTGTTTCTTGTTTTTATTTTTATTTCTAGAAGGAAATATTCTCTCTAAGGCAAACTGTATTCCCTCTGTTTTCACTGGATCTTAATTACACTTTTAAGTATCACATTCTTTCCACTCTCATATTTTAATATCCTCTACCCATCAATGGCCTAGTTATCCTATACAGAATACATGCATGTAAAATTGACATCCTATGCGCTTTAGAAAGTACACGAGTTTCTAAATTTTTTTTTTTTACCCGCACGGGTAGCTCAGTTGGTCGAGCGGTGGGAAAAATTGGACGTAGACCAAGGTTCGAATCCCGCAGCGGCCAAAAGGGGGTTTTCAGAACCTGAAATAAGGCTGGCCCTCTGGTGCGCACGGGTAAAGGCCTACTGCCGCTTTGCCGACTGAGTCACCGTGATTTACTCCCCCACCATCCTGTCGGGTCAGGGTGGGGGGGGCCCTTGAGGTTGGGGATTCAACCTTTTTGGACGTAGAAAGTACACGAGTTTCTTGCAACATGTTAGCCAACTAGAATTGTATTGGTTTGTTGGGATTGCTATAATAATTTTTTTTATGTTCACCCTTCTATTATATACTTCCTCCGTTCTATAATTCTTGCAACATTGTGACTTTTGCACTATTCACAGACCTTACTTTGACCACGATTTTCTACTAATATACATAATCAAATTATTTCGTATAAAATGTTATTGAATTCCTATCAATGTGAATTTCCAAAATATCAATTTTTTATAATGTTTACTAATACATAATTAAATATAATTATAATCAAAGTTGTGCATTGGCAAACGTGAAAGTCAAAGTGTTGCAAGAATTAATGAATGGAGGATAGTATTAATGAACTATTTTACTGCCACTTAAATATAGGGAGTTGCATCAATTCTGGGAGCCGTTGCGAATGATGTTGGAGTGGTGACAACCCCACAACTTCACTGGATGGTCCGTGCAAAAAACAAAGGCTTGGAAGCATCTGAGTGTAGTTACTTTGATCAACTTGCATCCTCTTTCAGGTTGATGTATGCTGAGAAAGGGAAAAAACATCACCTGATAGCTGAAATTTGTGCTACTCAACAGTGTTCATCTGCTCACATTTTGCATGATTACAGGTGCCTGATGGATTTGTTACCCCAAAGAGGACGAAGCAATGCTGGGAATGAAAAAGTGATAGTGGACGGTTCAAATGGCGTGGGTGGAGAAAAGCTTGAAGAATTGAAGAAATTGTTGACTGGGATCTCCATTGAAGTTCGTAATCGTGGTGATGGTGTTCTTAATGATGGTGTTGGTGCTGATTTTGTGCAAAAAGAGAAGACCGCGCCACGCAATTTTGGTCATACCGATGTTGGTCTGCGGTGAGTAATTTCCTATTTATTTCTTCGAAATTGTTTTACACGAAATTGTTGAGAAATAATAATAGTTTGGCTTTTTATTTGTGTTTTTTCATTCGTGGATAGATGGTATTGTTCTTGTAGCATTGTTGACCATTAAAACTTATCCACACATACTGCTACTTGGTAAAGTGTTGTGTGGGATTCACTCAATACCTGTCATTATGCTATGAAGTGGAAAATTTAGTTAGATGATTTTAGTGTTTCAGGTGCGCAAGTCTGGATGGCGATGCTGACAGGATCGTCTATTTTTCAATAAAAAATGACAATCGCAAAATTGACCTTGTTGATGGGGACAAAATATTATCCCTGTTCGCTATATTTATCAAGGAGCAAATATGTATTATGAATAAGAATATAGATGTAAAAGAAAATAAGTTTTGTGCACCGAGGTTTGGTGTTGTTCAAACAGCATATGCAAACGGGGCATCATCTGATTACCTAAAGTCAATGGGTCTAGAAGTAGTGCTTACACCAACAGGGGTTAAATACTTGCATGAGAAAGCTGCAGAATTTGATATTGGCATTTATTTTGAGGCAAATGGGCATGGAACCATTCTGTTTTCCGAAGCATTCTTATGCTGGTTGGAGGGCAGAACTGAACTTTTGTCAACATCTGAAGGTTAGTTTTGACTATTGATTTATTGAGTGCTCACAAATGCCCTGCTGGTTTTTGCCATTAACTGCCTTTCATTGGTTTTCAGGTTCAGAAGAGCAAAGAGCTGCTTCAGTACTTTTGGCGATTAGTAAGTTAATTAATCAAGCTGTAGGAGATTCTTTAAGTGACTTGCTTTTGGTGGAGGCCATCTTACATCATATGGGATGGTCTATCAATGAATGGAATGCACTTTATGAGGACCTACCCAGCAGACAACTTAAGGTCTTTCTCTTACTAGTGGGACCTATTCTTTTACTTCTCATAGTGTTCCAAATCCATTTTGGCTGAATTGCTGAAATGTATAGTGAGCAAGCCACTATGTGAATAGGGCCTTAGGCTATTAAAAAGCACATCACAATCCGGAAATTCTGAAATCAATTGGAAGTTGATGTAGGAAATAGGGTATTTGGTTTGTTTATATTGACTGATTAAGGGGGTTTATTACCAGTCTCCCCTTTTTCTCTCAACAAAGCATGTCTCAATTTCTTTTAGTTTTTATGAATCAAATCAGGCTAAACAAATTAAAATAATTGCTTCTCATAGAAAGAGGGATGCAGAGATTTTATGTCTTTTAGTAATACTTATGTTAATGGATGTTTGACGTCTTATATTCAGGTAAAAGTGGTTGACAGAACTGCAATTGTGACGGTGAATGCAGAGACAGTTGTTACTAAACCTAGTGGTATTCAGGAAGCAATAAATGTTGAAATTGGTAAGCTCAGTGAAGAACTTCTAGAACATATTCAATCAGTGTCTATAGGTTACGACTGTTGAAACTTGAAACATATTATACTGCTACTGAATTAATTTACTGTTTTTCTAGCTAAATATATAAAGCTTATTACCATCAGCATGTGTACATAGTAAATATTTAACATTATTTAATTTCCACAAAGACAAAATGGCTCACTAAACTGTCTGTGCTTCTTTGTTATGAAGCAGCAGTCAATCCATGCAATTTTGGACGGGATTTTCACTATGGGTCATCCGGAAACAGTCTCTCTGTGCTTTAGTACAGGGGTAAGACTGCGTACATCCGACCCCCCCTTACCCCACCGTAGGTGGGAGCCTTTGCGGCACTGGGGTAAATGAAAATGAAATGAAATTTAATTTCCACAAAGTTACTTATCCATTAATGAAACAGCAAAGTGGTAATTACGCATGGTGAAATGTAATTTATGTTGTAATATGTGGTAACCCCTCTAGCATTGTTATTATATATGTAGCAGATGTGTCTAGACGCGCTCGTGTCTGTGTATTTATATATACTCCATCTATTCCTTTTTATCTGTTTCAGTTGACGAAATTTCATTGTTTGGGAAATGTGTTGGATTGATAAAATTAGTCAAAACTTTTAATACTCTCGACAAAAGTGTACATTGAATAGCATACTAAGGGTAGATTGGGAAACTGTTATTTAATGTGCTTATATTTCATTATAGAAAGATAAAAGGGAACAGGGAGATAAATAGGACCAGAGGGCTTATATGTTTGTGTATTGATATACTTAAGAGTCCTCCAATGAAGAGCCTTGTTGCTATGGTACAGCGAAATATCCACGGGGAAGATGTTTTGTCAGACCATCTGGAACAGAAGATGTTGTGAGAGTATATGCAGAAGCAAGCAGCCAGGAAGGAGCGGACTCCCTAGCAAACTCGGTCGCCAAGCTCGTCGAACTCCATCTTGGTTTTGGCCACTCCTAAATCCAAACAAACCTGTCTTGTGCTCTCTTTTTCAGGTCCATGGTGGCTTTGTACATGCCTACATTAATATCCAACAAATCCAGAACTGTGAGCTGCAGTTCAACTCAGTGGTGGACAAGCTCTCCAAATCCCCAGTGCTCCACAAACTTGTAGCTATATATGGCATTTAACACCGGAATTGGTTAAATATAACGGCAGTGACTTGTCTTGCTGATAAGAAGACATTCACAAAGATCGTTGATTATTTTTTTTACAATTCAAATAAGATCATTATGTTTTGAATTTTTGCCACAATCATCTTTGCTGTTATCTTGTTCAATGCAGTACTAGTATTCTTGAGAAAATGCATGTGTATCACCCTGGTTAGGATTTCACATGGCCAAATGTACATGAGCTCCTAACTGTGACTAGATTTTTTCCGCTATAGATTCAGCACTAGTTTAGACCTCTATTCTAAAAATCATTCTAGGTGTCCGACTAGTCCCCGCCTAGGCACTAGGCGCTGGCCAGGTGCACCGATTTTCGTCTAGGCACTCCGACTAATTGGTTTGCCGTCTAGCCGTCTAGGTGAATTAGTCGGCCGCCTATGGAGCCTAGTTGCCTTAATCAGCCGCTTAGATCGTCTAGATTTGTCGAACATTACTTTACTTTTTAATATTAATTTTCTAAGCGATACACATACTTTAGATTTAGCCATGGATATAAATAAATGAAGTTGTAAATTATGATAAAACTATATATGTTTATATATATACCTAAATCATCATTATTTATATTTATAACATAATGAAGTTAAGTGATTAGTTATCATATACTACATATGATTAAATGTGATAATTCTATCATTCATGTTTGTTACGAGTAATGTATATGTATATATGTATTTTATACACACAAAAATACAATATTACTTATCATATTTATGCAAAAATATAGATAAAAATGCAATTTTTTTTCTCCGACTAGTCCCCGACTAGGCGCTAGGCGCTGGGCTAGCGCTCGACTAGCGCCTAGTGTCTTTTAGAACATTGGTTTAGACATTAGAGGGCATTTGGGGCTTGATTGGGTTATAGGGGAGGGATGATTAATTTTTACTACGTATTTTACTAGTTTATTATATATATTCTTTATAGGAAAAATAATATATATATATATATATTAAATTCAAATGCACATTTAACCACCATAACTTTCACCTTGCGGTCGTCTCCCTTGAACAAGGGTTCCAGTTTTTGCTGTCTTGTGTGCGGCGTTTAGATTTATTCGTCCTTTGGAGCGACGATTAAGTTAGCAGAGAAGGAATTGTTCACAGGAATATCGCTAGGCGTGCTGTGGCGGCCGATGGAGAAGGAGTTGCGGAAGCCAAGGGAGGGAGAAAGGGAGGCGTCCAGAGGGGCGGAAATTGCGGGGCAGACGGAGGTTACGCGCCAGAGAATTAATCGAGCGACGAGCGGGAGCTGTGCCTTGTTTGTGTCAACAATCATAGCGATGATCTGCCTCCTCCTGAACCACCGCCAGGGGATGAACGAGGTGCTAGGGTTCAAGATACCTGTTTTGTTTATTAAATTTTTTTCTTGTTTCATCCTCCTCCTATTAGTTTTTATTATTTTATTATTTGGTTTCTTGCTATGTTGTTAGATTTGTCAGTTTGTTTGGGAATTTAGCCTCCTTTTCTGTCATTGGGTATGTTTGGATCTATGGGAACAGAGATGCTGTGTCAAGCCCGCTGCATGGTTAGCGATTCGTGTTGCTCTTTCAGGAGTAACCGTCTCTAAATCTGATCATAGGGTTTAAGTTGTTGGAGTTTAGTTGGTGTGAGATTTGTTTTTCCTTTGATTGGTGTAATGATTCTGAAGCTTATGATATGAATAGAGGCAAGTTTCCGTTCAAAAAAAACCACCATAACTTTCAGTAACATCAAAATAATAGTTGTTTGTTTCAAACATAATCCACCCACTCTTAGGCGATCCTGTATGTTTGAAGGCCTAGGGTCGGAGAATAAAAATGGGGCTAATCTCAAAAAAATTGTAAAACATTTTTCTGTCTAAAGCAGCAGCAGGAGTAGATTTGAAATTTTGGATGGCTCAGATTAATTCTCATTTTACATGTTAAGACCCCTTTTAATTTGATCCAAACTATGAATAGGGTGCGGTTCCGGTGAGAACACTCTTTAACGTGAGAAATGAGAACGCTCCAAAACGTTGCACTTTATCCTTCACGAAACTGCACATTTATAGTTGAAGTAATGCAAAATTCTAATGTGCACATTTACGTTTAAAATTTTGCACAGATGAATTGCACATTTTCCATTTTTTTATATGCACGTTTTTGTTTTACATGATGAACAATACTCAAATCCAACGCTCTAGAATCATTATCATTTATCTTCTAAGATAGTATTCTCATTTGATCCTTACCCAGGGTGTAGTTCTGGTGAGAACACTCCTTAACGTGAAAAATAAGAATGCTCCAAAACGATGCACTTTATCCTTCACAAAATTACACATTTATAGTTAAAGTAATGCAAAATTCTAATGTGTACATTTACGTTTAAGATTTTGCACAGATGAAATGCACATTTTCCAATTTTTTATATACACGTTTTTGTTTTACATGATGCACAATACTCAAATCCAACGCTCCAGAGTCATTCTCATTTATATATACTATATATACTGTTAGTCCCTGTTTCTGTAACAGCAATGAATAATCGATCTAACAAGGAAGATTAAACGTAAAGATGAACACAGAATGAATCACCGTAAAACCTTCTTTGATAAACCGTGGAACGTACAGCAGAATGATATAAGCGTAAGGCTATGAATAATAAGTACGACGTTCAACCTTTTCCTAAACCTCGGCTCCCTTTTTATAGGCGAGGTTTAGGTTAGGCGTACCAGGCTTTTGGCCTGTTTAAATGGGCCTAACACTTGGCCGGATTCCTATCTAATTTATGCACTATTTAAATACAAGGATTAAATATAAAGCTAATCTATGACCAACTTGATTCACAATTAAATATCTCCAACAATCTCCCCCTTTGTGATCAAGTGCCATTCTCTTATTGCTTCTGTGATTTGAAGTAGTGCTTTCTCAATCCAAGTGCATGTTCATACTGTCTTAGCATATTTCTCTTTTCGAGGCGATCGTCAATGACCTTTAAAATTGTCTCTACAGTAGAGTGTTCCTTTTGAACATAAGACGATGCCTCTTGAAGATTTTCTTCCAGCTTTGCCTTCATCTGTAGAATCTGCTCTCTGATTATCTTCAGTGTTCCGTCGCAGTACTTCTCGATTTCACTGACTACCATCAGACGCTTTTCGTTCTTGTGGTTCAGATAGGTGACTGCTGGCGGTTTGAAGAAGATGTGGCAGGCTGGGAAATCTTCAAGTTCTGGACCATACAGTTTTGGCTTTGTCAGATTTGTCTTCTTCAGATTGCATTCAATAGCCATCTGTAGGTCATGTGAAGAGTGTACTCTGATCTGTCTAAGCATGAATCTCTTGATAGCTACGAGGCCTTCGCTGTATACTATGTTCTGCCTGACTGGAAGGTATCTGTAGGCCATGAGCATTTGGTAGATGTCATCCGGTTTTAGCATGATGAAGTCGTTCTCTTGACAAGTGAATTCGCTCCCATCGGTGCGTTGAAGTCTGAAAGTGTAGAATGTTACTCCATGATAGTCTTCAGCCTTCACTTGTAGAATTTGATGAATCGGGAGAATATTCGACTTCAGATCTTGTTCCATTAGTTCTCTCTGTGTACCAGTTGACCTTTGCAACAACATATGCAGATGACCTCCAACCTGCTTTCCTTTCAAGTGAGTAAGGCCTCTTAGCTTCAGTTCGTTCAGTGGCTTGACTTTATCTGGTCTACGCCAGATATGCTCTCTGATTTCTTCTTGGAAGGGGGCTTTGATTCGAACGTTGTCCCAGGGTTTCTCTGTCTTGGGAAGTCTTCCCGCTGATTGTCTTACGACCGATTCAAGAGCTTTCTGGGATTCCTTGTAGTTCTCCCCTTCCTTGCGTTCATCGTCCTCGAGCCGTATAATATCTTCAGAGCATTTGTTGATCAGCTCTCGTAGCCACCAGTTTCTTTGCATGTCTTCTTGCTCGGCTTCAACCCGGAGATCATCCCATTCTGTCCATTTTCTCGGCCATTTGTCGTATATCACCGCCTCTTCCAGTGCATCATGGATGTCTTTGCCTGGGGAAATATATGGAGTTCTTTGTATAGGCGGTGATTGTTCCTGTGTAGCACTACCGGGTTCACTAGGATTGCCCGTTGACATCAGCTTAGAACTGGGTTCCAACTGATGGCCTGATGGAGAAGATGTACCAGTGGTAACATCATCAGGACTTCCATCCCCTCCTCGGTTGGTATCTCTGGGAGATACGCCTCGGGATGTTATTTCTAGCTCGACCACACTAGATAGTTTGGCTGTGGGTGGTGGCTGTTGGTTTGTTGAGGTTTCAGGTTGAATTGGCTGTGGAGTTTGGCTTGGTAGAGCAGTTTGCTCAAGTGATCGAGGTCGCTTGTTCTCCCCCTCATGAGGATCCGAATCATCGGGGTCCTCATGGGAACGTTTGCGACCACGAAGACTCTCCTTGCAAGTACTCTTGGTTTCAGGTGAGGAAAGAAGAGCTTCTAGTATGGCTTGCTGATGAAGAGTGAGGTTTTCTTCTGGGGTATTTAAGAGATTGTTCAGCAAAGCCGAAGCTAGTGTGTCAAAGGATAGGGAGGAGAGATCGATGGAGGGTGTGGTCGGGTGTGGGGAGAATCCTGGTTCTGTATTCTGGGTTCCCCGAGAAATAGAAGGGATGGGAATTTGGTTTATGGATTTGTGGGATAGAGGGGTGGAAGATATGGGTTGTGTATGGGAGATGAACGGTTCAGGGGAAGGTTGGGGTGGTGTATGTTCAGACCGAACCGCTTGGGTGTTCCTAAATTCCTGTGCTAGAGCGGTCATTGCATCTTGCACCCATGGTTTAATGGTGGAATCTAGGAAGCGATTTAGTAGAACGTTTATGTCTTCAAAGGTAGGGTGACCAGTTACGGGGGTTGTAACTGTTGACACAGCATCAGTGAAGAATGCTGATGTGTGGCCTGCATTTAATGATGGAATCATTATGGGCGTAGCAGGGCTTCCAACCGTCATAGCTTGCGCTCTGGTTGTTGCGTTCAGGGTGAGTGCACCTGTTGTTAGGAAATTGATGTAACGTACCTCGAAAGTACGGCAGCGGAAGTTTAAAATTTTCCCAAACAGATCTTTCCTGATTATGACAAAACAACGAATATGATAATAATAACAGATTTGAGTTAGAACTTACAGATCTTCCAGCCTAGCGGTGATAATCCTTGACCTTAGGTATCCACGTGATTTGTCCTCTCCGAAAGAACGATTAGATCTCCCTTTAGAGAAAG